GGTAGAACCAAAGAAGGTGCGAGAATCTGCAAATCTGTGATTATTTTGAGAGTGTTACAGGTACCCGGCATGGAGGTGTGTTGTGCATGATCTCATCTTAGAGAATTCGGTGGTTTGGGCGGACTGTAATTTGTAACCGGTTTTGTATTGATAGAAGTTTTGGTTGTTTTCCACTTGATTTTAATGGGCTAAAGATGGGTCTTTTCATTTCAAGAAGGGCTCCTCAGTGCAGTGGAATATCATTCAGCCTTAAAAAAGAATGAAATTCTGAGACATGCCACAACGTGCATGAACCTTGAGGGTGTTACGCTCAGTGACATAAGCCAGTTGCAAAAAAAGACAAATAATGGTGTATGGTTCCACTCACATGAGAGAGTTAGAGGAGCGAACTCATAAAATAGAAAGTAGGTGGTGAGGGGATTCCTGGGTGGCCCAGTCAGTTAAGCATCCAGCTCCTGATTTCGGCTCAGGCCATTATCTCACAATTTGTGAGCTCAAGCTCGAGCCCAATGTCGGGCTCTGTGCTGATGGCGTGGAGCCTGCTTGGGATTCTCCCTGCCCTCCCCCCCCCCCCAGCTGTCTCTCTCTCTCTCTCAAAATAAATAAATAAACAGGAAAAAACCCAAAGTGTTTTGGCAGGAAGGGGGAGAATGGGTTGTTGAATGGGTACGGAGATTCAGTTCCACAAGATGAAAAACAGTTTGTGGTCTGATTGTGCAACAGTGAGGGTGTACGTAGCACTCCTGAGCTTTACATGTAAAAATGGTTAAGAGAGTACAGTTTATGTTATGTAGATTTTTTTTTAACTATAGCAAAATAAAATACTATGACCAAGAAAGTTACGTAGTAAGAATTAAAATTCACAAGCTGTGGGCTATGATGTTCCTCAAGTACAGTGTGCATGTGAATGCACACGCCTTTGGACTTCACTATTTTCACTGGGGTTTGGGATGAGGAAACAAATTAGAGTAGATCTGTTCTACTTAGAGGAGAGAGAGGCCTCTCATGCTTCTGAAAGCTTTGCCATTTGCAGCACGTAATGAGGGTACTTTGTACTTCAGGATGGTTGCCTGTGTTCCCTCGTGAGGCTTGAGTGAACATTTGCTGATGTGTCCAAAATATGCTTTAAAAAAATTTTTTTTAATTTATTTCTGAGAGAGAGAGAGACAGCATGAGCAGGGGAGGGTCAGAGAGAGAGAGGGAGATACAGAATCCGAAGCAGGCTCCGGGCTCTGAGCTGTCAGCACAGAGCCCGATGCAGGGCTCGAACCCACAAACTGTGAGAACATGACCTGAGCCGAAGTCGGACGCTCAACCGACTGAGCCACCCAGGCGCCCCTAAAAAAAGGTTTTTATAGTTTATTTATTTTTGAGACAGAGAGAGGCAGAACATGAGTGGGGGAAGGTCAGAGAGAGAGGGAGACACAGAATCTTAAGGAGGCTCCAGGCTCTGAGCTGTCAGCACAGAGCCCGATGCGGGGCTCAAACCCACAAACCATATGATCATGACCTGAGCTGAAGTCGTATGCTTAACTGACTAAGCCACCCAGGTGCCCCTAAAATATGTTTTTTTAGAAAGTGCTCATACTCGAACTGTTCATTTTATGACAGTACGTTTCTGGGGTGAGCGTATGACCACTGTAAATCGAAGCAGAGGGCCGGGGGCAGGACGGGAACACGCAGCGCTAGTAATCAAGATTTGGGCCAGTTCCCTCACCTGACGTGCCGTGACAGCAAGGGTTGTATAATCCATGGCTGATGGCCTTTTTAAGAAGTCTATATATTTGTGGGGCACCTGGGTGGCTTGGTCGGTTAAGCATCCGACTTTGGCTCAGGTCATGATGTTGTGGTTTGTGAGTTTGAGCCCCGCTTCGGGCTCTGTGCTGACAGTTCAGAGCCTGGAGCCTGTTCCGGATTCTGTGTCTCCCTCTTTCTCTCTGCCCTACTTCCCTTGCTCACGCTCTGTGTATCTCTCTCTCAAAATAAGCATTAAAAACAACAAAAAGAGGGGCGCCTGGGTGGCTTAGTCGGTTGGGTGTCCGACTTTCGCTTAGGTCATGATCTCGCGGTTCGTGGGTTCGAGCCCCGCGTCGGGCTCTGTGCTGCCTGCCAGCTCAGAGCCTGGAGCCTGTTTCAGTCTGTGACTCCCTCTCTCTCTGACCCTCCCCTGCTCACGCTGTCCCTCTCTCTCTCTCTCTCTCTCCTAGAAATAAATAAAACATTAAAAAAAAAATTAAAAAAAAAAAAAACAACAACAAAAAGAAATCTGTCTATTTGGGACCCCTTGTTTAAAAAATATATATACTTTGATTCAAATAGCATTTTCTTAGCTTTCAGTAGAACAGTGCGTTTTGCAGAAGGAGAAAGTGGTTCAAACTGCTATGTTAGGATCCTATAGAATGCATCTGAGTATGGATTAGAGTGAGGGTGTGGTCTGTTGACATGGAAGGCCAAGTTCCTTATCTGCCGTTTCCCTGCAGAGCATCTTTCCATGGTGATGAATTCTTTCCTGCTCTGAAACTTCCTTTCCACAGTTGCCTGGTTGCCTCTCTGTGGCAGAGATGTGACCGACCCCTGCTCTCTGTAGCACGTGGGGTTGTTCTTGGCATTTCACGGCGATAAACATCCTGGGCCCTCGTCCACCCGAGCCAGAGAGCTACAGACACTTAGCCAGGCTGACCTTCCTAGTTTATTACCACCCCAGGTAATGCATAAAAGTGGGAGTTTCTTAAAACTCTTGCCAACTTGAACCTTGTTATCATTTTTAAATCTTTGTCAGTCTGATTAAGATTTTTTTGGGGGGTGGGGGGGTTGGTACCTGGGTGGCTCAGTGAGTTAAGTTTCTGACTCTTGATTTCCACTTGGGTCATGAGCTCACGGTTTATGAATTCGAATCCCACATCGGGCTCTTTGCTGACGATGTGGTGCCTTCTTGGGATTCTCTCTTTGTCCTTCTCTCTCTGTCCCTCCCTGCTCACTCACTCTGTCTCACAACAATAAATAAATAAAAACTTAAAGAAAGAAAAAGATTTTGGGGGAGGATCATGGTTAAGTTTCCTTAATACGACTGGTGTGTGTGTTTATCTATTTCTTTTTGGGGACTGAAAAGAATCTTTATATCCTTGGACCATTTTTTTCTTTTGAGCTGTTTGCTTCAGGTTTATGAATGATGTGCGTTATTAATGTCTAAATAACATTAATTCTAAGGGTCCCTGGTCTAATTTCCCTGCCATTCTTAATGTGGCATGTCTTCCTCACCTTTGAGTTCTTTCTGTTGGTCCGTTCATTCATGGGAGCCCATAAGGTGTGGTCAGCACACCTGGCTGGAGCTCCCTGGGATTATCAGGGGTCAGATCTTGAAGTCTTCAAATCTCTGACAACGTCTTTCTGTTGTCTTTGCACAGAATAGTTTAATTGATTCTCCGGTCACTTCTGGAGGTCTCCTGGGCCACCTCAGGCCTCTGACGCCCAGAATGTTTATAGGGTTCTGCTTGGGAACTCCAGGCTTTTTCTTCCCAGGCATCTTCTCCGTTTGTCTGTATTTGAATCACTGACCAGATGTTGCTGTCCAGCTCTGTCTCTGGTTACCTTTCCCTTTTCACCAGGGGTATCCAGGCTTCCCCACCCCTTCCTATTTTATATTTGTGTGTTTATTATCATTTTGTATTTGGAAAGCAGTGTTGACTGAAGAATTTGGAGGTGAAGTCTCGTAACAGTAAAGGTGGTGACGTGGAATGTGAAAAGCGCCCTGGGTTGGCGCAGCTTCCGGCCGGCAGACACTGAGCGAGGGTGCGCTGAACGGGCGCCCCTCGGAAGGGCATTGGGCAGGACACCGAAGGTTCTCTAAGAAGAGTACTGCCTGGGGGACGCCCCAAAGGGAAAAGAGGGTGGGGCTTTCTTGTCACTAAGATGACAAAACCCCAGAACGCACGGGAACAGTATAATACACAGCAACAGGTTGCGGCCTTCCTCCTCCGGGAGCCCGGCCCGGCCTGTCCCGGGCCCCACTCCTCAGGCCGTAGCCCTGGGAGCCGCTACCCCGCCCCGAGGGAGGCAGCCAGGCCAAGATGTCTCCACCAGGTTGCTTCTGGTGTCCCCGAGATGGGCCCAGACAGGTGGCAGCCAGAGACAGCTGTTGGGAGGGACGGAGGGGCCACACGCAGGGCCCACCCAGACCCCCCAGTGCTCTGTGGCCATGTAAGTCCTCTTTGTGTGTCCATTTTGACGAAGGCTGAATTCATTTGTATAGAATAGGAACTCTTGGTGTATTGTGGTGAGTAACCTCTCGTTGAGGGAAAAGGTCACAGGCCCGGGCTGTAGTTTTCGTTCAGAACTGACTGTACCGTGTTGGGTAAAATATCTGTTAACTTTCCCCTCTTTTTGTTTTCTTTCTTATTAAAAACAAAACTGTAAGTACATCATGCTTCGGAGCAGTAATTCTCAAACTTTCCTGGTCCCAGGACCCCTTAAACATTGGGGATCCCCAGCAGCTTTTGTTTATGGGCGTTATATGGATTCATGTGTAGTGTGTTAGAAATCAAAACAGGAAAATTCAAGCCACGGGGATACAGAAGTACACATCCCATTAATAAGCCTTTAGGGCAAAAATGTCACCGCACATCATATGGTCTCTGGAAAATTCCATCGTGCCTCTGTGAGAGGATGAGAGTGAACTACTTTGACCTTGTGTGCGGACCCTTCACACGGGTCTCAGGGAACCCCAGGGGTTCTCGGGTCACTTTGAGACCCGGCGTGCTAGAGCATTTCTGTAACTTACTGCAGTTCTGTCATCAACCTCGAGGAACTTGATTGGAAATAACCTTGGCTTGAAGAAAACGCATTTCAGAATTTGTGATCTGAGCCCACATCATCTCAGGGCCCTTATTTTTTTTTATTATCATTATCATTATTATTATTATTATTATTATTATTATTATTTTTTGCTGAGGCTCTACTAACTCTGCCCTTCTCTCTGGATTCTTCCCATAGATTCCCCATAAGGAGCCCCCGCTGGCGTGCCAGACCTACTGGGGCCCGTCCACCCAGCTGCGCCAGACTCCGGCAACGGGGCCCCCGATGGCAGTGGGCACCTCCCTGTGAAACCTGCCAAGCTGGACGCCACAGTTCCGCACGCTGACACTTTGGCCAACTCCGTGCCCCCGTTGGAGGTGTGCAGCCATGCAGTCCTAGCCTGCAGCCCCGGCATCCCTGAGGAGCACTATGTAAGCGAGGCTGTGGAAGATGCTCCCAGCTGCAGAGGGTACCGGGATGCCTGCACCATCACCGGTAAGGGGGCCTTTCCTTTTCCTGCCAGGGAGGGTGGGAGGCCTCCGTCCTGGAGGACCGGGGGTGGGGCGAGGCCACAGGGCTGTGTCTGGCGAGGTATGAGGGGCCCGGGGACAAAAGTCTGAGTGCAAAGAGTCGGGGCTTTGGGGTTTTGACACCTGCCATCCAGAACCAACGTGAGATGAAGACGGTACCTCACAGCATCGCCGTGAAGGTTCGGGATGGGAATTTTGAACCCCGAGCAGCATGTGTGGCCCGTAGGGATGCTCAGTGTCGTTTGGAGCCTCCCCCTCTGCCTGAGGCTCTGTTTCTGATTCACACATAAAGACGGGTGTGATGGAAATAACACGCAGCTGGGTGGTGGGGTACAAACATGAGGAACTGTTTTCAGTACCCTGTGGATGCTGCCAGGGTTTGCTCAGATCTCGCTCCTGACAGATGCCCGTGTTGCTCATGCTTTCCCTGCGTCCCCGGGGTCCTCGAGACCAGGGCTTGGAGCCGGCGCACGCAAGGGCTCTGAGCAGAGCTGGCCGAGGACGGGGTGCGGAACGGCAGCAAGGGGCACTGTTAGCGTCACATCGAGATGCATTCACGTCAGTTTGCCTCGGTTCTCGTTCTGTCTGCAGTGTTTACGTTTCTCCCCGTTTGAAGTAATGCCCAGTGGCAGCTTCAAGTGTGCGGACTTGCTTCTAGTAGCTTTTCACGGCTCCATCTCACGTTAAGCATGGAGGACCTCCTGGGTGTCAGGTGTCCTGAGTGCAGAGGGCATGGGGGTGGCCCGGGAGCCCGGCCTGGGTGCTAGACTCCGGCCCCGTAAGTGACCCTCTGTCTGCTCTTTCCCTGAATCTCACCCCTGCTTGCCCACCTGTGGAAGGACACCTTTCCTGCATCTCCGTTCTGTCTGCATCTCCCGTTTCCCCTTGCTCCTGGATCTCACCTGTCAGCACAGAGACCTGCGGTGACCTCCCCGTTGTAAAGATAATCCTTTGTGACTCCACTTTCCCCACAGGCGGTGCCCATGCCTGTGTCTCTGCCCCTCGGTGAGCTGATTGCATTTCCTCGTCTGCTCTCACTTGTGTCCAGTGCGAGCAGGCTGTCACCCCACCATTTCCCCCCCGCGGATGGCCTTGTGCAGTGCCGGGGTCCGTCCTTGGCTTCATCTTCTTGCCTTTTGAGCAGGAGTCGACACTGCCGACCACTCCCTTCTTCTGGAAATCCGGTCCCTTGGTTTTGGGTCTTGGTTCTCCTGTTCTGCTACCTTGCTGGCTGCTGTTCCTTCCAAGCCTGGGGGTGTCAGGGGGCCGGGGGGTGGGAGGGCTCAGTCCTTGCTCTCTCGTAACATCTGTGCCCCAAGCGCCCTCCCCCCGTCTCCAGGATTTACAGTCTGCCCTGTGCAGACCCCTCTGTAACTCCTTTCTTCAGACCCAACCTGTCCCCTGGAGGCCAGACATGATGGTCTAACTCCACATCTGACCGCTTCACCTGGATACCCTACAGGCATCTCAGACCCAAACGACCGAAAATGACCTGATTTCCACCCCTGCCTGCTTTCCCGGTGGTCTAGCTGGTGGTGCTTCTGTCTTTCCCATGGACCGGGCCAAGGCATTCAGGGCCTCTGTGTTTCTTTCACACTGCGGTTTGCTGGGAAGTCCTTTGGCTCTGTGTTCAGTGTGTCCAGAGCCCGACAGTCTCTCAGCAGCTCCACGGCATCCATCCTGGTCTACACCACCTTCATCTCACATCTGGATTATTTGCAGTGGGCTCCTAATTGGGCCTCCCACTTCCCCACTTGCTTTTGTGCAGTCTCTTCTCTGTCTCCCCACCCAAGGGACTTTTTACACACACGTCCTAGGGTTTAACCCTTCTCCAAACCTCCCGTGGGCTCCTATATGACTGCGGCCTGTGGGGTCTAAGGGCCAGGACTTCCCCGTCCTTTTGACTCTCGTCTGCCCACTCCATCCCAGACACACTGCCTCCTTTCTAATCCTTGGACTCATCAGGAATGTGCTGCCTCAGGGCCTTTGTTCTTGCGGTTGCCCAGCCACCTGGATCGCCTCTTACGCCCCGATGGCCTCACGATTCCCTCTTCCCTTTCTCCAAATGGCGTTTCATTAGAGGCCCTTTTGTGACTGCTTTATAGGAAGAGCAGTCTCACCCCTACCTTTTCCCTTCCCCCTTTCCTGTCTTATCTTCCTCCCCCGACGTAGTCACCAGCTACAAGTGTTTATATTTCGAGGGCAAGGACTTTGTGCAGCCCAGCATCCCAGGAGCTGAAATAGCACCTCATGTGGCTGGAGCCCAGTTAGAGGGGTCTATTATCCCCATTTTACAGGTAGAGAAACTAAGTCATGAGAGGTTCAGTATCCAGCTTAAGATCCCCGAGCTCTGCAGGCTGAGATGTGCATGCAGGTTGTCACCCCGGGGCAGGTGTTCTCGGCCACCCAGGAACACAGCCCAGTGGGAATTGTGCACCGTGGTTGATCAGCACGGGCACGAGGGGGCACAGGGACGGGGGGTGCCTGGTCGAGCCTTGGAGGGGAAAATTTGGAGGGGGGGCCCAGAGGGCTTCCCAGAGGAGGCAATGCCCCAGCTGCATTTGTCTAAACACCTGAACTAATAACCCCTGGGCCTCCAGTGTTATGTGTACCAATTGGAATCCAGGAAGCATCCAGTCTGTTGAAACAGTCACTTTCTCTGAACGTGACAACCAAGGGCCAAGAAATGGCAGAGCCGCAGCTGAAACTTCAAACGCCTCGGGGCTGGGCGACGGCTGCCCTGTGCTGGGACACCGTGGCAGAGCCGCAGGACAGCTGAGAAGCAGAGCTCGGCGCTCTCACGTTTGGCAGCGGCTTAGTAAGCGGGGTGTAAACACAGGCTCCGTTCCGCGTTCAAGGTGCCGGGCAGCCAGATGATGCAGGACACGCTCAGGCTCAAGTCTTACTAGATGGTCCCTGTGCGGAGGGTGCACAATGGAAATAGCCCCGGGGAGACCTGGAGTACCCCAGGAATGCATACGCGGCTCCCAGACCTTGCCAAGTGCGGTCCCTGGAGCCCACTTGGCATCCGGCCTCCGATAAATGCACTCCGCCCCCGGTTCCCAGTGGGCAGTGAGACGAACAGCAGACTTTTTGTTCCCCTTTGATTTTTACGCAAAGCCAGACACCCGCCTCGAAGCTCTGCTCCCCTGCCGCCCCACCTCCCCTCAACTTGGGGGTATCACGTTTTTGGGTGCGTCATTTTCTCTTTGGGGCGGTTTAGCACGATGAGCCGATAGGGCGCCCGGGGTTATGTAACCCATTGTGCTTCCAGAGCGGCTCACAGCCTTAGGATTTGCCCCAACAAGCACGCTAAGAAAACTGCTGAGGGAGGCGCGGGAGGAGGGCGGCTGTGCTGGGGCCCTGGCCCGGCCGGGTCCTCGTGCGGAATCCCTCTTCCCTCGGAATTGCCGCCAGAGGTGGTTCGTGCCCATGGCCTTGGTGTTTCAGCTCAGGCAGCCCGTCCGGGCCCAGCCTCTGCCAGCCCTCTGCCCGGGCGAGCCGCTCCGGACAGGCTCCTGTGGTAAGTGTCTGCTGGGCTCATCTGCTCTTCGTGTCCTTTGTGGGGTGGCCGGGAGGGGAGCCGACCACGGGGAAGCACCCTTCTCTCCTGCTCTGTTCTGCTTGGCAGGCTGTCCTTGGGGCGCGTGGTGGGGGAGTCGCCATATCGAAGCATCCAAGGGCAGAGCCGAGGGTCCCGAGAGGCCGTCGCTCCCTCGTCTCCTCGTCCAGGCACAGGGGAGGCAGTGACACGGGGCCATGTCTGAGTTGGGACCAGGCGTCCCAGACTCCCACCACCTTCCCCTTTGGGGTGCTTTGCAGGAGCTGAACAGGGAAGGTCGCTAAGCCCCCGCTCCCCCACCCCCACCCCGAGTCTCTCCAGCTCTTCTGTTTTTCTTAATCCCGTGTCTTCCTCCTGGTTTCTCAGAGCCTCGCCTGGCATTTGGGTCGGCAAGGACTTTCTTGAAAGGTGAAGAACACGGGCGCCTGGGTGGCTCAGTCGGTGAAGCGTCCGACTTCGGCTCAGGTCATGATCTCACAGTTCGTGGGTTTGAGCCCCGCGTCGGGCTCTGTGCTGACAGCTCAGAGCCTGGATCCTGCTTCAGATTCTGTGTCTCCCTCTCTCTCTGACCCTCCCCTGCTCACGCTGTCCCTCTCTTTCTCAGAAATAAATAAAACATTAAAAAAAATAAAGGTAAAGAGTAGAGTTCATGTCTCCCTTTCTCCTTCTCTCCTCCTCTCTCTCTGTCTTTACTTTTTTTTTCCTCTTTACTGAACGTGTTTGGCTCTGTCCCTCTGATCCACGCCCCGGTGGTGGAGAGCTCGGGAATCATTTCTGCTCTGGCCTGTCTCCCTGCTGTGGGGCTGGAGCGTCTGGTGTCTGTCCTGTGTTCATGTTAGAAGAGCTGTCTGGGTCCAAACCCAGTAAACTCCGGAGAGGCGGGCCCCTCTGTCCTGTTCAAATCGGCTCAGGTCTCAGGACGTGTAAGAGTCTGGATGAGAGGTTATGCGGTGCTGTGAGTGTGGTGGGGGAGGCTGTGTAAAATGCCTTGACCCATGGTCAGTAATCTGTTCACCTAGCAGCTCTTCAAGGCCAGCTTTGTGCTGGGTTCCGTCGCGACAGCCGGCTGGGGCTCGGAGCACCGGAGGTGGGCAGAGGTGTGAGTGACCAGCGACAGCCCCATAGTCAGTTCCTATCTAGTATAAAAATCTTAATGTGTTTTCCATTAAAAATTTATAACCTAATGGTACTCACTTGGCTGAATGAAGCAGAAGAGAATGGACAGTGAAATACCCCTTCTTTCACAGGGTGAGAAAAACGTGAATTGGATCTAGGGAATTATACATTTTCTCTAAATTCAGAAGTTGGAACTGTTCTTTTCTCCTTAGTGGAATCTGGTCTGTTTGACAGTAGGTTGGTTTTTGCACATGGAATTCAGGAGGAGGTCCTCTTAACGCTGATAT